CTGCTTCCATATAGAAATGGACAATAGCCAGATCATATATAAAAAGAGAAATCTGACCCACAACCTGCAGCAACCAGCCCAGGACACCAATCTATCATGTACAGTAGCCAGCCTGGGACACCTGCTGGGTAAGTTGGACTTGTAGGAAGTCAGACCACTATCTCCAGGAACCAGCCCAGAAAGCCAAACAATAACCCCATAACAATCGACCTCAAAGGACCAGGACCTGATTAATCATGGACAGCTTCCCTCATTTTTGTCCCTGCTTCCAACTTAGTACTGAAGAAAGCCAAATACACTCAAAAACGGTTAAAATGGTAAATTTTATGTTCTGTATATTTTATCATGATTTAAAAAAAAAAAGTGACTTAGAGCCAGAGCTGGGAAGCTGGGTGAGGGGCGGGGCTGAGGGGTGAAGTGAGGGGCATGCGGTCTGGTAGCGTGGTTAGGAAATGGCAGGCCAGGTGTATGGGGGTGGAAGGGCCATGGAGGGCAGGACGGTGGTAGGATCAAGGCATCCGGCCTCCCACAGGCTTATCCCCAGGCACTGGGATTTGGTAACCGGGTGAAGGAGGCCTTTCGCCATCCTGCCCTGCACTGTAGGAAGGGGTGAATGGAGCCAGCACGGCCAGGGCAGGGGTGGGGGGTGGGGGGCTCTCTGGACGTCCAGTCCCACGGAGGAAACAAACCCCAGAGTTCCCGGCACCTCCCACTCCCCCCCTTCTTCACAGCCCTTATGTTCTAGAAATTCACCAGCTCGTCAGTGAATTCCACGTCGCTGCTCCTATAGGGGAAATGCAAGGTGGGGTTCCTGTGAGCTTCCGGTCACAACATTTTCATCAAGTGATCAACACACGACCTTGTGTGATGGGTGTTTCTGTTTAAAGAAACCTTGTGTGATATGCACTGATAATTCATTAACACTGAACTCACGGCCACCAGCACTATTACTTGTGCTGGAACGAAGCTCACCTGACACACGCATTTTCTCTGTAAGGCTGTCACAGCCTCTTGAGCTTGGCAACACCAGATGGCTCTTAGCACTAGGCTTGGGGCCCTTTTCTTTTATTTTTGGCTGCGTTGGGTCTTCGTTGCTGCACGCGGGCTCTCTCTAGCTGTGGTGAGCGGGGGCCACTCTTCGTGGCGGTGCGCGGGCTTCTCACATCAGTGGCCTCTCCTGCCGCTCAACACAGGCCTTAGGTACACGGGCCTCAGCAGTTGTGCCACGTGGGCTCAGTCGTTGTGGCACACTGGCTCAGCTGCTCCGCGGCATGTGGGACCTTCCTGGACCAGGGCTCGAACCCATGTCCTCTGCATTGGCAGGCGGATTCCCAACCACTGCACCACCAGGGAAGCCCCCTTTATTTTCGGGGGGGCCCATTTTAAACAGCAAAGTCACCACGAAAAAGCACCAAAATGTGAAATAAATAAATAAACCAGCCACGAGAAGGACCCTTGTTTATCGCAGGGACTGAAACAAGTGGCCTTGTTCGACAGCAGCTGGGAATGTGCGTATTGGGCAACTCCGATTTTTTGGCTGCTCTGCAGATGTCCATGAATGGCCGAAAAAGAGCTGTGAGTATTAATCTGGAGTTACAAATATGCTTCAGCGAGTAGGCGAGTTTGAAAATAGACAACCCATAAACGATGAGGAGCGCTGAGCATTTGTTTATATTCCGAGCTGGTCTCTCATGCTCGGCACCTTCTCATTGGTCTCCCGGCCAGGGGTTTGGCCATTTCCTATTCAATAAGATGAATAATCCTAGGACCATCCTCTTGAAAATGTACCGGCCAGGCAGACCTACTCCTGATATTTCCAGGTGTCGTGGGGTTGACCCATGGTCCCAGTTTGTCTGGGACCAAAAGTTTTCCCGGGATGCAGGACTTTCAATGCCCAAACCAGAAAAGTCCCTGGCAAACTGAGCCAAGTTGGACACTATCTATATATGTGAAAATGATCTAAAAGTTTTAAATCTCAATTATTTAATATGGCTGAAAGTTGAAACCTTATTAAATATTTTTATCAAGATAAAATCAGTTGCAATTCTACTGTCCCATACCCACCTAGCTGCCAAAGTAAAAAAGTATCAAGTTTCATGCGTTACGGCCAGGCCTGTGAAGATACCAGCTTAATAGCGACGTGAACTGCTTAACGCTGCAAAGCATTCCTCAGTCTTCAGGTACAGCTATTGCCAAAACATCCCTTGTTATATCACAAGTACCATGAATTAGAACATGAAGGGCAGCAAGAAAATGGACACTTGCTATTTCTGGGTAACGCCACCCTGTGTCCTGCGACCTAATTGCCTCCAGGCTATCAGATGGAACTTTGACCCTTCATTCCTAAATGCTTCGGCTGCCAGTAAAGTTCTGAGTCCTGTGAGCTGTTCTAGAAAATCATAAGGGGGGAGTCGTGGGGTCCCCCGACGTTGGCGTCGAGTCAGACAGAAGTGTGGGTACCCCGGGGACCCAATTTGCCCCTGGCGTCTGAAGCGGGGCCAGTCTTGTGGGACCGAGGCCTTCACCCATGGGGTCTGTGCTAACTCTGGGGAGCAAGTGTCAGAACTGAACAGAACGTTGGACACCCAGCTGGTGTTTCTGAGAGTCGGAGAACTGGTGTTGGAAAAGCTGTTGACATAATCGGTGTCAGAAGGATGATGGGTAAAAACAGCTCACCCTGGGCTTCCCTGGTGGCGCAGTGGTTGAGAGTTCGCCTGCCGATGCGGGGTCCCCGGGTTCGTGCCCCGGTCCGGGAATATCCCACGTGCCGCGGAGCGCCTGGGCCCGTGAGCCGTGGCCGCTGAGCCTGCGCGTCCGGAGCCTGTGCTCCACAACGGGAGAGGCCGCAACAGTGAGAGGCCCGCGTACCGCAAAAAAACAGCTTACCCTGGGGACTTCCCTGGCTGTCCAGTGGTTAAGACTCCGCGCTCCCACTGCAGGAGGTGCGGGTTCGATCCCTGGTCGGGGAACTAATATCCCACATGCCGTACAGCATGATCTCCGCAAAAAAACAGCTTACCCTCACACGGTTACTTCCTCCCAATGAACCAGATAAGGAAACTAAGCTAAGAGGTAAATGATGTCTGCAAGGCCTAACTAACTCTGCTAATGAGTGGAGAAGCCAGCATTTGCGTTCAGCCATCTGATGTCAAAGCTCACAGACCCAGCCACAGCCTGCCCCGAGGGAGCACTGGGACATGGAACCCCTGCCCAGTCCTTTCTTCTCTTTGTTTGGGCAAAGGGCGAGTCCACTTGCTGTCAACAAGCAGCCACGAAGAGGAGGTCACTCCTCAGCCCTGCTCCTTTCTCACCTACATCTGGGTCACGCCAGGGAGGACAGATTTCCCAGGCGGCCCACCATGAATGTGTGTCTCTGGATAGGAAGAGAATACAAATGCCAGTGGCTGGCGACAGGATGACTCATCTGGGGCCTGCAAGCACAGCCTCTAATTCCCGCCCCGAGCCTAGCTTTCCTGTCATTTGTCCTAAGGGTAGTCATGCAACGCAGGAGGGCTGGCAGGTGCAGGATGAAGGGGTCCCAGGTAAGGGGAGGAGGTGCGAGATTGTGGCCTCAGCTGACCCTGACAACAGGCTCAGTTTTCCCACCCAGAAATCTCATTTCTGTCCCAGCCCTGAGTGTAGGGTGGGTGTGGAGGGCAGTCAGCCGAGACAGGCCTGTGAGTGCTGCTCCCCCCGTCCTGCCCCTGCCCAGCAAAGCCAACATGGTCAGGGACAGACAGAGGGACCAGCCCTTTCCTTGCTCTGGGCCTCAGTCTATGAAGTGTCTGTGTGATGTCGCTGTTGGCCCAGGTGGTCACTAGGGCCTGCAGCATCCACGCCCCGGGATTCCAGTCCATAGATGGGAGACAGAATGACCCACCCTGGGGGTCTGCAGTCCCTGAGGCAGCCCAGCCTCAGCCTCTGCCCTGATCCTGGGGCCCCTCATACCTCCAGGCACAGGTTCAGCCCAAGCAGGGAATGCCTCAGACTTGGGAAGCTGTGTGGGTGGGAGGGTCATGCATAACCCCTGTGTCCAGGGGCCTCACAGGTGACATTTTGAATCCTGGCAGCATCTCCACCCATCGTTTTACAGAGGACACAGGGTGGGAGGTGGGGCCTGATCCCAAAGCCCACACTCTGCACTCCATGTGGGCCTTGGTGGAGAGGGGAGGGGGCTTCTCTGTCCACAAAACAGGGGGTAGGATGGCCCAGTAACCTGGGTTGCTGGCTGTACAACTCTGGGCAAAGGCCTAAGCTCCCTGTGTGGGCTGCTCTGGAAATGCTCCGTGCAGTGTGGACACAGTGGTCAAGGGGATCCTAGACACTTCCTAAGGGCACCAGGAATCACCCAGGCCTGAGCCTCCAGAACTCCCATGGTCCTGCACTGCCCACCCCACCTCCCAGCACCAAGCACCTGTTATTCAGTTTTTACTTAGAAGTGAAACTTTGGAAGGGAAGCTTCGTGTCATTATCACTAAATGAAAAATCTCTACCGCTTGCCATGAACTGAAGACATCATACAAAACCCTGCAGGAAATCAGACATGAAATTCTATTTAGATGCTGGTGTCTGCTGAAGGCTTGCTGACTCGTAAAAAGGGAAGTGATAAAGCGTCGAAAAGATACTAACAACTTAAGCGGACCACTGTTAGTTTCTCCCTGGTTTAAGGGATGAAAAGGAACGGAAAGGGAGCTGTTTCTCTCCACGACACCCACTGTCATTGGAGCATCGGAAACCTCTCTCCACCCTCACGCGGGCACGGGTCCTCCCCTCTCCCCCGCCCGGGTCCAGGCCCTCCCGGCCCTCCGCCGCCCGCGTGCTGCCCCAGCCTTGGGCGGCCCACCGGCTCCCTCGCCAGGTCCGAGCGGGGGCGGGGCCGGCCGGGTGACGTCACGTCGGGAATGCCTGGGGTGAGTGCACCCGGGCCGGCGGAGAGCCAGAGTGGGCGCCGGGCTGAGACGCGGTGCTCTCGGACCCCGGACGCCCGACCCGCCGCCGCTATGTACGACCCCGAGCGCGGCTGGAGCCTGTCCTTCGCCGGCTGCGGCTTCCTGGGCTTCTACCACATCGGGGTGACCCGCTGCCTGAGCGAGCGCGCCCCGCACCTCCTGAGCAACGCGCGCAGGTTCTTCGGGGCCTCGGCCGGGGCGCTGCACTGCGCCTTCCTCCTCTCTGGGGTCCCGCTGGGTAGGTCCGGGCCGCCGCGGGGCTCCGCGCGGGGAGGGGGCGCGCGGTGGAGCCGGGATCGGACACGGAAACTGCGGGGTACGCCCGGGGTCTCCCCAGACAGATGCCTCCTCCAGTGCATCCTTTTGCCCCGCACCGGGGAGCTCTGTAAAGCTGGGAGCTGGGGCCTGGGAGGGGGGCGCGCCGGGTGAGCGGTTCTTCTGGGTGTGGGAACCCGGAGCGCCTCCTCGCCTCGACTCCCTTTAGGCGCCCGGGCTTGAAGAAAGCGCCCCCAGACCCAGCCAGGGACTGAGAGCCAGGTTGTCTCCGAGCGACGGGGAGGGGGGAGCGCGACGCCTGGTTGGGGGCGGGGGGCGGGGATGGGGGGGTCGGAGGCCCGATTTGCCCTGCTTCCGGCCAGGCCAGGAAGGAGGTTCTGGCCTGTGGCCGAGGGTGGCTGCGTTCTTCCCTCTGGGGACCAGAGGGACTGGCGACCCCAGGCCCCGGGCGCCTTTGATCTCCGCCCAGCTCTCGTGGGGGCGCTGGGGGCGGCTGGGGGCCACTTGGGTGGAGGGCAACTTGCTGGTCTGGATTGAAAGGGGGTTGGGGAGAGGTGTTTTGTGCAGTGAGCGGAGACGGGGGTGAGGGGAGGTAGGAAGGTTGTCACCTCCTTTTCCGGTGCTTGAGACCCTTCTTGGGGGGCTGGACACCCCACATCCCCTGCTCTGCTCCCCGCCGCAGCCCTGCTCCGTGCCCTGGAAACGGGGTCCTGTGCATTTGAATCTTGTCCTAATGAAGCATCTCTGTACTCGTGGGTACCAGTGGGAGGGGCGGGCTGGGGCTTGTGGCCAGCTGGCCTAAATTACTAGGGTATGACATCCTTGGCCTGGGATCCTAGCCAGGGAGCAGGGCCTGGAGCAAGTGGCAGCCTGGAGCTGTTGGCATCCAAAGGCCCTCAGACAGGAAGATAACGCACCTTTTCATTAGCCCCTGTTTGCCTGGGCTTCCTTAACGGTTTAAATCTTTACTCTACCCGGGGACTGCTGTGTCG